AGAAATCATGACTTTAATTTGGGTGTTCATTTCGTTGTACTTGTATAGTGTGACTTTGTTGCTACTTGCCAGAAAAAGACACACAGAATTGAAGAAAGTTCAAAATGATTCATGATAATTTGAAACCATTCATTCATTCATGATTCGATCATAAACTCATGTAATTAGTTAGTTGATTCCAACGCACTAGTCCACCAACTGGTTGACCTCTCCCTCTCCGGGTTGTCCACCTACCTCCCAATGAACACTCAGATGCGTGTGAGACCAGTTATATAGGCTTTTTTCCATAGGCTTTTTCATCAGCTCCATCAAGCGGGTGGCGGAGAACTGTCATACTTTTAAATGGTTTGGGCGTCTTCCACAAGATTTTACCAAATTGGCCGCGGATGGATTCACATTGTGGAGAAATTATGACTTTCCCTGGCAACGGAATTAAGGACTCGCTATCTGTTTGCTTGGGAATATAATGAAATAAATCAGAACGAATCATTAATTTGTTTGCGCTTCTTTCTTATAAAAAAAAGTCATAGTCAGTCCATTCAAATTTTGACGCGATTTTTAGTATGGCTGATGTGGAACTTGTCTCTCTGTGCTTTATTAGAAGCCAGGTTAAGATTGTGCTTTATTATAAGCTAGGTTAAGACTGATCCCTCCTTATAGTGATAAATTGTGAAAGTATGAGACCCTTATAAATGAAATTACGATGAAAACAACTTGGCGTGAGGCCGGTGGTCAGGCGTCCCGATATTTGTCTAGGCACCCCCAACTTATTAGTTTGGCGCCTCGGTGAATTAGTGGATTGCATAGGGCGTCTACTTGTCTTCCCACCCAATGCGCTTAATCGACTGTCTAGGGTGTCTAGATTCGCGAAATACTTTGTTTTTATTTTATTTTATTTTTCTAAGACCTATATGTACCTTTAACTCTAACATAACCACACATGAAGAAAACTACTTATAGATTAACATTAAAAAACATGTATGTACCTTTAACTCTAAAAACTACGTATAGATTAACTCTACTTATAACCAATCATATATTAATAATTACCCTAAATAGAACTAAACGGAAACATAATTACACAAATAGGAGTAAAACCTAAATCTTTTATAAATTGGAATAAACATTAATTTTATACCCTCAATACCCCTAATTTAATAAATTAATGAATTAATTGCCCCCTAATTTACTTGGACAACTGGGGCAGTCTGTTGGTGGCGGGGGCAGTACGACAGTGAAAGGGCATTAATCTGGCAGTGGCGGTGGAGCTTTGGCGAGTTTCGCGGCGTGAAATTGGTAGAAAACCCAATTTGGAAAATTTGGACGTATTCTGGTGGGCGATGGATGTGGCAGGTGAGGCAGCAAGGCGATGGCTGGTGGTCTGCGGTGTTGGTTGGGCTGGGGACTCCAAAAAGTTACATGAGTATATTTGTCCAAACACACATGATTAGTCCTATTTTGGAAATTTAAAACAATGTAGTCCTGTTTAATATTTTAACGATGTTTTACTCCTATTTAGATCATTCACTCAAAAAGTATACAATTTTGTATATATTTATTATTGAATGTGACAATTCTATCATTCTTGCATGTTAATATTACTTATCATATTTATGCAAAATATTAGTAAAAATATAATTCATATGTCTCTGATTAGTCTCTGCCTAGCCGCCTACCTAGCTAGCCGCCTGCCTAGCTAGCCGCCTAAGTGCTAGACATTGGGTTGGCGCCCGAGTAGCGCTTAACGTCTTTTACAAATTTACTAAGAACCAAATACATAATATAGTTAGTTTAATCTATGCGTTATTCAAGGATATAAAGTTGATTAACTTATTGATTGACAAAAAAATATGCATTAAGAGTGTTTTCTTTTGGACTGAAATTTGTTGGTCTGGTCTAGTTTGGTCTAATCTGGTTTGGTATGTTTAAGTCTGGTCTGATCTGATCTGATCTGAACGGGTCTAGTTTGGTCAGGTAAATGTCTGATCTCTGTGTACTTTATAATTGTACAAGTATGATATGATCTTATCTGATCTAGTCTTGTTTTCTCCTCAATATAAAAATATACGGAGTAATTTTTTTTTAGTAAATGAAAAAGTTACCATAATTTGTAAAAATTACAGAGTATATGATAAAATAATTTGAATATGCATATAAGAAATACATTGTTCTAAAACTCGCTAGGCGCTAGTTGGACAGTTGAGGGGGGCCTAGCGCCTAGGCAGCTGACTAGGTTCATTTTTTTTGTCGACTAGACCGATTTTTTGGCCGACAAGACCTCTATAGTTAGGGCCAACTAGACCGATTAGAGCGATTAATCAATTCGACTAGACCGATTATTACTTTATTAGAACAATGAAAGAACTATATGCACTGATGCACTTATAATTATGACTATAACGTGTACATGTATATTTATAATGGAAAATGATGTTTGTACCCACTTTTATACCCACTTTTGTACACACCCATGTTTGTGAAGTTATTTTTTTTGTCTGTGAATTCCTTCACAAACAAAATATGTCTGTGAAGGAATTCAAAGACATATTTTGTCTGTGAACCGGCTTCACAGACAAAAAAATAGCCTTCACAGAGGTGGGTATAAGATGGATACAAAGTGTTGGGTACAACAAGAATGGTTGATTTATAATACTTCATACTTCGTCATGATTACTTAGTTGTGATAATTTTCCCCTCCTTTATTTGCTATGATTGATAAAGGTTTTTTTTTTTCTTTATCTTGTAGAGCATCATATAGTTCAGAGTCAATACCACTACTCTAAAATGCGTAGAGTAGGAAGCACTAGGCACCGGAAAAGCGTCCAAGAAAGGTGGGGAAAAAGCGTTCAATGGGAGAGTTGATTGTCAAAGACGTGAAAATGTGTAACTCGAGGCATGAAAAGGGCGGTCTAGTACGTGAAAATGTGAAAGTATATTAGATAACTATTTTGTTGCGAAGAAAAAAGTTGATTAAGTTTTAAAAAATTACTTTTATAAACATGTTATACGGAGTATATGAAATCTAATAGTGAGTAATACCAAGAAATAATATATCATTTTACATTTACACTTTGAGTTAAAAAAATCTATATGTTGAGAAAGTAAAAAAAACAGGGCTCAATCTTGTATAATACTTTTTGGACATTAATTTTTTGTGAACATATACCATAAAATAGTACTATTTCCGTCCCCCTAATATTGGTACGGAAGAGAATGGTGTAGTTTTAAAGAAAAGTAGAATTATGTGGTTGATAATGAGTATATAAAGTGGAAATAAAGTAAGAATGAATTAGAACCACACAAATGTCACGAAATATGGTATGAGACAATTATAAAGGGACATAGGGAGTAATTATTAATAGAAATCTAGATTTCAAATTCTTGAAATCTTGAAACTTGTATTTGGCCACTTGTCATGTCTCATGCTTTTTAGAATACCAGTCAAGATGGCTCCTACATAGTTCCAAAGGTTGAATCGCCAACCCCAAACGCCCCCACGCCCCGACCCGACAGAGCACATGGGAGGATGTAAGATGGCTCCTACATAACTACAGAATACGTATTTACAATAGTATTTCACTATATTCTTGCATTTCACTCCGTGAGCATATCAGACGTATGAGTTATTTCTAGATTCATGTAAACCTCAAATACCATTCAGTGCAGAAATTATAAAGAGCCCGTAACGGGCTCACTACAGATCACGCGGATCTCACACTCGTCAATCGGATAAAAATTAAAAAAGAAACGTATTCCCGGAGGACCTCAAAATTCAGAAACCATCCCAAGCTAATTACATATGTATAGCCAGGGATGGATTTAGGGGGGGGGGGACCGCCCCCCTTGGACTTTCAAAATTCTCTACTATATATGTAATATTTTTCAAACTTTAGGTAGATATAAATGTTTTCGCCCCCTGACGTGCACTTGTCGTGAGGTGCACTCAAAGTAATAATACAATACAACACTAGTACGTAGTATAGTGAAGTAAGGTTCGTATCCACAGGCAAAGGAACACTTCTCTTTTTATAGAAATAAATAAGTAACAAAGGGGGGTTTTTATGTTTGGTTCGTTGAACTTAAATTATATTTAAACACAAAGATGAACGACTTATGTGGTTTAATTAATAGAGATGAAGACTTGGTTTTGCTTTTATCCACTTAATGAAATGTCCGTCGATCCCGGTTATATCCTTAACTATCTTCCTCTCGAATACCCAATCGAGGAGTATATCCAATTCATCGAGGGTAGTTATTAATAACGAGAAGCGTTCATTAATAAAACTTACTACCGAGTCAATATAGAACAAGCGCCATATATTAACTTGATAGTAGCAATAAAATCAAGATGAAAACGATTGAGATTGATAACCTCAACACAAGCGGTTTATTGGTTTAATCAATATAATTAATTCCCCTTGGCTTGTTAACCATGAGAAGCATGTATTAACAACCCCGAGTTTACTACCGTGAAGGACCGGATTAATAACAAGCGTATTAACCGATCGATTCTAGTAATAACTAATATATAGAACAAGACTAGTTGATACTTTAAGTAATGCTCAATATATTAATATGGGATAAGAATAGGAAGTAATTAATATTCAAGGAAGAAGATTAAAGAAAGTAACTCACAACTTACAAATTCATTAAGCTTCAAAGTAGCAAAACCAAGATGGAAGAGTTTAGCTCCTCATTTGGAGACTAAACATGATGAAAAATATAAAGAAAGAACTTGTCTAAACTGAGCTAAGAAGTATATGTGAATTGGTAGTCATATTGTGAAGGAAAGGAGGTGTATTTATAGGCTTTTTGGGGTGCAGGTCGGGTACTCGATCGAGTATATATATGTACTCGATCGAGTATGTGCAGAAAGCTGAATTCGATCCATACTCGATCAAATTTATAGTAGAATTCATAGCTATACCCGATCGAGTATGTCGGTGTACCCGATCGGGTATAGACACTCGATCGTGGGGAAATCTTCTTCTGCATGTTCCTTTGTTTTCGGATTCGATCCGATTTGAAATTTCAACCAGATACTCGATCGAGTATAGGAGATACTCGACCGAGTATAGACAAAAATCAGGATTTCCTTCTTTTGTCTTGTGATTTTGCACGTTCTTTCCACTTTTTGGGTTTCACCAACTGTCTTTGAGTGATGTTAGACCTGTTTGAGCTCAGAATAAACCTAATCTAAACAATTTACAAGAATTTAACAAACTAAACTATTACACCGAAAGTGTGTAATTTCCGAAATACTAAACAACCAAAACTAACTAAAAATGTAAATAAACACACGGAAATTACAAACGTATCAACTCCCCCACACTTAGTTCTTTATTCGTCCTCGAGTAAAGTTCAATGTTTACAAGTGTAAAGATTCCCAGAGTTTCAATAGTTTTAACAAGATAAAAACACAAAGACCACCAAGGATAAAATATGAGTTTTAATGCTCAAATTACAAATGTCATCTTGGGTTTTATGGTCTTCTAGTGTTCATCTTCTCTTCCTCTTCTCCTTTTTCTTCTTCTTCTTCTTCTTCCAAGAGATCAAATGAGTTCCTGCACACAGAAAAATATTCCTCTCATATCTCTCATTTTGCCTAGGAGCCTTTTCAGGTTTTCATCCTAGCATCTCTTTGTGTTTTTCCATCCTCCCTAACTCACTCATTTTTTTTAAAGCCATTTTTGCTTAGATTGCCCATTTTTTGGGTTTTCAACCTAACTAGCACTTCCTTTTTCTTTCATTTCCTTTTTTGTTGTTGTTTTTTTTTGTTTACAAAGAGTAAAAGAAAAGTCATGCATAGTAAAGAGTAGAAAATAGCATCACATACCATGAGGAGTCTCCCCCCTTCTCAGTCCAAGCACTGTCCCTAGTGCCCGCCTTCTCCGCCGTAGAAGCCGCCTCCAAATCCTCCTCCAAAGTTCCCGTCTCCCATGTGAGTATCCCCGCCGTCATCCCTGCCATCAAAACCTCCACCCCCGGAGCTAGATCCTCCGAAATTTCCCCATTGAGTGGGGTCATACCAAGAGGGGGGTGGTGGTGGTTGAGCCATGGTGTGGAATTGGCCTTGATGAGCCATGTAAGAATACATAGGTCCATAGAACCTACGTTGATCTTCTTCATACCTTCGGTTGTCTTCGGCCCGTTGTTCCTCTAGTCTTTGGAATCCCGCTCTTTGTTCCTCCCGATATTTTCCAACTTCATTGGTGACTTTGTTGAACCCTTCAAGGAGTTGTTGGAAGTAATCGGGGGGTGGGAAAACTTGGTTCTGTTCGGGCATGTAGGGAAGTGCATCCTCGGGTTCGTATTGCTCGGGTTGAGGTTGTTGGTCGGGTTGATCTTCGGGGGGGTCTTGGGCTTGAGGCTCTTGGAAATGTGGTGGGAGATCGTGAGGGAATAGGTAGTGAGGCTCCTCGAACTCCGGTTTGTAGCGTAGTTTGGGGGTGTCTTGGCTTGGCATTAGGAAGTATTGGACAGGTTGTACGTGTATGACCCAATTGTACATGTTTTTTGGTTGGTCCCCAATATAAACTGTATGGGAAAAAGATGTACATCCCGAGCGTCCCAACCAACCCATATCCATCAAGCAATAGTCGGGTATAGGGGAGTTATCTGTATACCCAAACTTACTTGCTAAGTGCATTATCACTCCACCCACAACTATGGCACCTTTGGCTAAACTTTCTTTTTTTAGATGTGCCCACATAAGATTGCACAGATTGAAGTCTACGTGACGACGGAATAAAGCCACAGATATCAAACACACGTCCCCGATCCTAGTGTGGTGGTTGTTGGGACGTCCAAGCAAACAATTGGCTAAAAATTTCAAGAATAACCGGAGGACGGGGTGTTGGACATGACTAATATACATTTGGGAGGAACTAAATTTCACTTCCCCAGTCATCTTTGTCCATAGGGTGTGCCCGAAGATGGTGTTATCTGAGATGGCTCTCTCGTAGGGCACGGGGATGCAAAAATGTTCGGCAAACTCAAGTTTTGTAATCGAATAACTTTGATTGAATAAACGAAACTTGAGTTTATCATCCCTAAAATCATCCTCATCACTCTCAAATTGCACCGAGCTTATGAATTCATAGATAATTCTTGCATTTGAGTTGTATCTCATTTTGAAAATACGATCCATATGCAACTCATAAAAGAACCTTTTCATACTCTTATAGACTCCTAATTCACGTAGAGCATCATGACATAGAAAACGTGAAGGTTTTACTTGCCTTTTTGTTGTTGATAGGAGTCTAGTTCGGTGTTCGGCGTCGGCGGGAATGATGTCTTCAAAGCCCGGGATGGGTGCTATGGTGCTTGAGCTTTCCCCCCTATTCTTCCTTGGTGCCATTGTTGATGATTTTGAGCTTGGAATCCAAAAAATTCGAATGGGGTAGGGTTTTTTTTGGATTTGTTGGATATTTGGGGGAAAGGTGATTTGTTGGTATAGATATGGAGAGGAGAGTGAGGGGAGTATTTTGGTTGTGAAATGGGATGATTTGGTGGAGAAATGAGGGAGTTTTGGTAGAGAGAAGGTAGCAAAATGGAGTTTTGGGTGAGAGGGGTTCGAAGTTTGGAGTTTGTTTGGGGAAGATGAAGTATTTTTGGGTGTTGTTTGGGTATAAATCGCAGGGGTACCCGATCGAGTATCCCTGTATACTCGATCGGGTACCGGAGGCAGGGGGGCAGAAAAGTTGTTTTTCCACGTATACTCGACCGAGTATTGATATGTACTCGATCGGGTATAGGAGGCAGTGGGTTATTCTTTTTATCTTTCCACAAATACTCGACCGAGTATGGATATGTACTCGATCGGGCCTCAGAGGCAGGCTTCCGATGGAGTTGATTTTCCAGGCATACTCGACCGGGTATGTTCCAATACTCGAGCGAGTATGCCTGTATCTTTGAAAATTGATTTGCACCTCGATCGAGTATGGAAACCGGGTCCCCTTTTTTTGCCCATACCCGACCAAGTATTACAGAGTACTCGATCGGGCATGTCCCCAGATACACTTTTTTCTCATTTTTTTTTTCATTTTTTGAAACGCACACATAATGAAATAAGATTAAAAGAAGACATACCTTGCTTGGGTTGCCTCCCAAGAAGCGCCTAATTTTACGTCGCGGCACGACGCCATGGTATAGTTCATTCTTCATAGATTGGATCGACGAGATCCATGCATTCAACGCTTTCTTTAGAAAAGCTTTCAAGGAACGGTTTGAGTTGATGGCCGTTAACCTTGAGGATTTTGCCGGTGTCGAGGCTCTTTATTTCAACTGCTCCGTGGGGGTAGACTTTGACTACCTCGAATGGTCCTTCCCATCGTGACCTCAGTTTACCGGGGAAAAGACGAAGGCGTGAGAGAAAGAGAAGGACTTTGTCTCCGATTTGGAAATCCTTTCTCATTATCATTTTATCATGCCATACCTTTGTCTTTTCCTTGTAGATGGCGGCGTTCTCATAGGACTCAAGTCGAAGTTCCTCTAGTTCTTGGAGTTGAAGCTTCCTTTGCATCCCCGCTTGCTCCATGTCAAGATTGAATGTTTTTACCGCCCAATAAGACTTATGTTCGAGTTCGACTGGGAGATGGCAGGCCTTCCCGAACACAAGTCTATAGGGAGACATTCCAATTGGTGTTTTGAAAGCGGTTCTATATGCCCACAAGGCATCATCTATCCGAAGACTCCAATCTTTACGGTTAGGGTTCACCGTCTTTTGGAGTATAGACTTCAACTCCCTGTTCGAAACCTCGGCTTGGCCGTTTGTTTGTGGGTGATAGGCGGTGGAGAGCTTGTGGATGACACCATATTTTTTCAACAGGGTACTCACAGTTTTGTTGTGGAAGTGAGTGCCCCTATCACTTATCAAAATTCGTGGTACTCCAAACCTTGAAAAGATTCGGGTCTTGAGAAAGTCCGTTACCACTTTGGCGTCATCGGTCTTGGTGGCTTTGACTTCCACCCATTTCGAAACATAGTCCACCGCCAAAAGAATGTATAGATTCCCATGGGAGTTAGGAAAAGGTCCCATGAAATCTATTCCCCATACATCAAAGATTTCTACGTAGAGCATTGGTACTTGTGGCATCTCATGCTTTCGAGATATGTTGCCCATGCGTTGGCAATTGTCGCAAGATTGACAAAAGATGTGGGCATCCCGAAATAAGCTCGGCCACCAAAAACCGCATTCAAGTACCTTCATGGCCGTTCGTTTGCCTCCAAAGTGTCCACCGCATGCATGGGAGTGGCAAAAGGCAAGGATGGATGCAATCTCTGTTTCAGGGATGCACCTTCTAATGACTTGATCTTTGCAATGTTTCCACAAGTATGGTTCATCCCATATGTAGTGTTTTGCATCGTGTTGGAGCTTCTCTTTTTGAGCTTTAGAGAAGCTTGGTGGAAACCTGTTTAGAACAAGGAAATTAACAATGTGAGCGTACCAAGGGCGAATTTCCTTGAGAGAGAAAAGAGTCTCATCGGGAAATTCCCCTCGGATATCTTCTTTGATATGATCATTTCCTTCATCAAGGACTAAACTGCTCAAGTGATCGGCCACCAAGTTCTCCATGCCCTTCTTGTCCTTGATTAAAACATCAAATTCGCTCAAGAGTAATATCCACTGAATCAACCTTGGTTTGGCCTCCTTTTTTGTCATCAAAAACCTAAGAGCCGCGTGATCGGTGTAAATGATCACTTTGGTTCCAAGTAAGTATGATCTGAATTTTTCAAGTGCATAGACGATGGCCAACATTTCTTTTTCGGTGGTGGAGTAGTTTCTTTGTGCATCGTTGAGTGTGGTGGATGCATAGTAGATCACGTGAGAAGCTCTTCCCACCTTTTGGCCCAAAACGGCCCCGACTGCATAATCGCTAGCATCACACATGATCTCAAAAGGGAGAGACCAATCGGGTGCTTGAATGATCGGAGCAGTCACTAGTTTTTCCTTCAAAGTTTTAAAGGCCTTCTTGCAATCCTCGGAAAAAATGAACTCCACCTCCTTTTGCAAAAGAGTGCACAAAGGAGATGCAATCTTTGAGAAGTCTTTGATGAATCTCCGGTAAAAACCTGCATGTCCAAGGAACGATCGTATCTCCCTAACGGTGGTAGGGTAAGGGAGTGACTGGATGACTTCAATTTTGGCTTTGTCAACTTCTATCCCTTTGGATGAGATCACATTCCCTAGAACAATTCCTTCTTCCACCATAAAGTGGCATTTTTCAGAATTCAAAACAAGGTTTGATTCTAAACAGCTTTTGAGCACAAGAGATAGATGATATAAGCATGAATCAAATGAGTCTCCATGGATTGTGAATTCATCCATAAAGACTTCCATAAAAAGCTCAACATATTCAGAGAATATGCTCATCATACATCTTTGGAAGGTGGCCGGTGCATTGCAAAGTCCAAATGGCATGCGTCGATATGCAAAGGTGCCAAAAGGACAAGTGAAAGTGGTCTTTTCTTGATCTTCAGGGGCTATGGGCACTTGAAAGTACCCGGAATAGCCATCAAGGAAGCAATAGAACTTATGCCCCGTAAGTCTCTCAAGCATTTGGTCAATGAAGGGTAAAGGAAAGAAATCCTTTCTAGTTACCGCGTTGAGGCGACGGTAATCTATACATACCCTCCATCCATTTTGGATTCGGGTGGGCATAAGTTCTCCATGTTTGTTCTCCACCACCGTGACTCCGGTCTTCTTGGGAACAACTTGGGTTGGACTAACCCATTTGCTATCGGATATGGGGAAGATTATCCCCATTTGGAGAAGCTTGATGACCTCCTTTTTTACCACCTCCATCATAGGTGGGTTCAATCTCCGTTGTGGTTGGCGCACCGGTTTGGCTTCATCCTCCATCAAGATACGATGCATGCAAGTAGATGGACTAATGCCTTTGATGTCGGCTATAGTCCATCCGATTGCAAGTTTGTGCTCTTTAAGCACCGCAATTAGTTTCTTTTCTTGCTCTCCGGTCAGTTTGTTTGAGATTATGACCGGTAATGTTTCTTTTTCTCCCAAGTACACATATTTCAAATGTGTTGGGAGTGGTTTCATCTCAACTTCGGGAGCCTGCAAAACAGAAGGCAAAGGCTTTTCCTCGGGGATGGTTAGTGGGAATGCTCTTGACCCCGGTGGCATAAGTGGAAGTTGGAAGTGGTTATCCAACTCCACCATCATGGCTTGCATATTGGGAGTCAAGGCAAGTCCTAAAGAATTTTCCCCGAAATCATTTTCAATCATGCTCAATAATTCGTCCTCTCCATTTATTTCAAAAGTATCTTGTACAAGAGGATCAATAATATCAATGGCAAATAGAGAATGATTTTCATTTGGGTATTTCATGGAGTCATAAATGTTGAACTCAACTTTATCTCCATCAAATTCCATTGTTAAAGATCCGCTAAAGACATCAATTTTAGCTCTAGCGGTCTTTAAAAATGGCCTTCCTAAAAGGATAGGAACCGCATTCTTATCATTTTCCATTTCCAAAACATAAAAGTCGGCGGGAAAGATCAAATTGTCTACCATAACTAGTACGTCTTCGACAATACCTTTAGGGTAAGCATTTGATCTATCCGCAAGTTGAATAACTACTCCGGTTTCATTTAGAGGGCCAAGTTCAAGTGATTTATACAAAGAGTAAGGGATGACATTAATTGATGCCCCCAAGTCTAACATGGCCTTTGAAAACGTAGTACCTCCCAACTTACAAGGTATAGTGAACATTCCGGGGTCATTGTATTTCTTTGGGAGTTTCTTTTGAAAGACCGCGGAAACACGTTCACTAACTTGGACTTTTTGTTTTCCATTGAGTCTATGTTTTCTTTTTATTGTACAAAGCTCTTTGAAAAATTTTGCAAATCTGGGAACACCCTTTATTAAATTAAGAAGAGGAATATTTACCTCACACTTCGAGAATGTCTCATAGATGTCCTTGTCTTTGTCCACCCTCCGTGTTTCCCTTAGAGCTTCGGGGAATGGAGCTTCTACTTCTTGGATGGTCGGTGGCGGGGCTAAAGTGTGAGATTCCTCCTCCTCAGGTTGAGCATTGTCCACAATTTCCTCTTCTTCTTCCTCGCCAATGTGGCTTTTGGCTTTCTCCTTGGCAATCACCAACTCTTTGCCACTCCTCAATGTTACCGCATGGGCTTGTTGCCTAGGATTCGGCTCCGTTTGAGATAGGAGCTTTGTTGAATCCTTGGCTTCAAGCCTACTCACCGCACTTGAGATTTGGCTCATTTGATTCTCAAGGTTTTGGATGCTTGATTTTGTCTCATGTTGGAATTGAACCATGTTTTGTTGCATGGTTGAGACATTTGAAGTGAGTGCTCGGATCATGTCTTCGGTGGACATAGTTGAGCCTTGCCCTTGGGGTTTAGAGTATGATTGCTTTTGAGAAAATTGATTTTGTGGAGGGTTATTTTGTTGTGGGTTTCCTTGCGGATTCCCGTAACGAAGGTTGGGGTGATCTCTAAACCCGGGATGATAAGTATTGCCGTAAGAATCATACCTCTTTTGGTTTGGGAACCCCAAAGCGTTGACTTGCTCGGGGTTTTCTTCTTGAAGGCTTGGGCATGCATCGGTGGGGTGGCCTTGTTGTGTGCAGATGCCGCAGACCTTGACTTCTTGGGTTTTGGAATTTAAAAGGAAATCCTTAACCAAAGAAGTCAAGCCGGCAACTTGACTTTCTAGAGATGATGTTGATTCGGCCGCCATGACTCTTTTTGTTGATGACCGCCCGTTGTGATATCTACAATTCTCGGCCAATTCCGAGATAAGATTCATAGCCTGAGAAGGAGTCTTGTTAACGATTCCTCCTCCACACGCAGCATTAATCATCCGTCTATCATCGTTGCAAAGACCATCATAAAAGTATAAAATGAGGTCTTGCTCCGAATAGCCATGATACGGACAGCTCGCACAAAGTTTCTTGAATCGTTCCCAATACTCATAGAACGATTCATCATCATTTTGCTCCACATTGCTGATTTGCTTTTTGAGTGATGAGGAGACAGAGGCGGGATAGTACCTTTCAAGGAAAGCCTTTTTCATTGCCGCCCATGTGTCTATACTTCCCGAAGGGAGATAGAACAGCCAATCCTTTGCGGTGTCCTTGAGTGAGAATGGGAAAGCCCGCAATTTGATTTGCTCCTCGGTGACTCCATTAGGGCACATGCTTGTGCACACAACATGGAATTCCGAGAGGTGTTTATTCGGATCCTCCCCTCTTAGGCCATGGAAGGATGGCAAAAGATGAATGAGCCCAGATTTTAGCTCAAATGTATTACCCTCGTTAAGTGTAGGGAAAGTAATACATAACGGTTGTTGATTCAAGTTCGGAGCTGTGAGCTCCCTCAAGGTTCTTGTTTCTTGAGCCATAGTGATTGACTCTTCAGATTCGTTAGAACTGGAGCTAGCGTTTGAGGTTTCCTCCGAGGGTATGTGCGGAATTAAATTTCTCAACCTCTCGAAGGCTTGTTCTATTTCGGGGTTTGCTTGATAAGTGATTTCGTTTATAGAACGATATCGGACCATATACTTCACAAAGCTCAAAAATAGAAAAAATAAGAACTCTTCATATTTTTTTGGTTAATTATTATTTTTTTGATTTTTATTGAAATAAAATAAATAGAAAAATAATTGCCTTTCCCCGGCAACGGCGCCAAATTTGACGTGCACTTGTCGTGAGGTGCACTCAAAGTAATAATACAATACAACACTAGTACGTAGTATAATGAAGTAAGGTTCGTATCCACAGGCAAAGGAACACTTCTCTTTTTATAGAAATAAATAAGTAACAAAGGGGGGTTTTTATGTTTGGTTCGTTGAACTTAAATTATATTTAAACACAAAGATGAACGACTTATGTGGTTTAATTAATAGAGATGAAGACTTGGTTTTGCTTTTATCCACTTAATGAAATGTCCGTCGATCCCGGTTATATCCTTAACTATCTTCCTCTCGAATACCCAATCGAGGAGTATATCCAATTCATCGAGGGTAGTTATTAATAACGAGAAGCGTTCATTAATAAAACTTACTACCGAGTCAATATAGAACAAGCGCCATATATTAACTTGATAGTGGCAATAAAATCAAGATGAAAACGATTGAGATTGATAACCTCAACACAAGCGGTTTATTGGTTTAATCAATATAATTAATTCCCCTTGACTTGTTAACCATGAGAAGCATGTATTAACAACCCGAGTTTACTACCGTGAAGGACCAGATTAATAACAAGCGTATTAACCGATCGATTCTAGTAATAACTAATATATAGAACAAGACTAGTTGATACTTTAAGTAATGCTCAATATATTAATATGGGATAAGAATAGGAAGTAATTAATATTCAAGGAAGAAGATTAAAGAAAGTAACTCACAACTTACAAATTCATTAAGCTTCAAAGTAGCAAAACCAAGATGGAAGAGTTTAGCTCCTCATTTGGAGACTAAACATGATGAAAAATATAAAGAAAGAACTTGTCTAAACTGAGCTAAGAAGTATATGTGAATTGGTAGTGTTGGGATATATTATCCCGG